GAACATTTTTTCTAACTGAAACACTTCTCAACTGATGTGAGGTCCCTGTAGGTCTTGGTTTGCCTGTGTCACAGCAGCAAAAAGCAGGCAGGCAGTGGGCATAGACAGGTGGAAATGTCACGTGCTCTTATTCTTTTCTTGCCAACACTGTATTTCCCTGCTTTTGGGGGTTTGTTTGTTTGCTTCTGGTTACAGATTTTTTTTCAGCTGTTTTTTAACTGCTTTATATATTGGATTTTATCACTACAAGGGCCTGTAGTGACAGGACAAGGGGTAATGGGTTTAAACTGAAAGTGGGGAGGTTTAGATTGGATATCAGGAAGGAATTCTTCCTGCAGAGGGTGGGGAGGCACTGGGACAGGTTCCCAGAGAAGCTGTGGATGCCCCATCCCTGGAAGTGCCCAAGGCCAGGCTGGATGAGGCTTGGAGCAACCTGGTCTAGTGGAAGGTGTCCCTGCCCATGGCAGGGGGGTTGGGACTGGGTGGGCTTTGAGGTCCCTTCCCACCCCAACCGTGCTGTGATTCTGTGATTCTTTTTAAACAGACACGAATCAGCAGGGCCAAAAACTAGTAAGTAAGAGTAAGATTAACTTTTCTCCTCTAGCTCTTGTTTCCACAAGAAGGCAGCAAGATGCAGCGTCAAGCACGCCTGAGCTGAGCTGAGGGAGGCCAGCGAAGCAGGCAGTGCAGCAGCAGCTGGGGGACATCCATGAGGAGACCTGGGAGGGGGCATCTTGTGCTGGTGTGTGATCAAAGAGGAGCTGAGAGCGCGCCGTGTAGAAGCAGCACTCCCTTACTGTGAAGAGGGGAAACAAGTGCAGCTATGCAGAAAGTCCTCAGTGCTCTTGTGCGGCAGAGCTGCTGCTCTTGGCGTCTCTCGTTAAGGGTAACTAATGGTAACTGTTTGCTGTACAGGTCGTGGAAGGGCGAGGGACAGCAAGTGCATCCTTGTGACAAACAAAACAGAAGTGGTTGAGAATGAGAAGCACAACCGCTACAAGGAAGAAATGATGAATGAAGCTATTGAAAAGTTACAGGACTGGGATGAAACCACATTTGCAAGAAAGGTTTGTACTTCTGAGGTAATGGGTTTAAATTGAAAGTGGGGAGGTTTAGATCAGACATCAAGAAGAAGTTCTTCCCGGAGAGGGTGGTGAGGCACTGGGACAGGTGACCCAGAGAAGCTGTGGATGCCCCATCCCTGGGAGTGTTCAAGGCCAGGCTGGATAAACCTTTGAGCAACCTCTAGTGGACAGTGTCCCTGCCCATGGCAGGGGAGTTGGAACTAGATGGTCTTGAGGTCCCCTTCCAACCCAAACCGTTCTGTAATTCTATGAAACCCCCATACTCACCTCTAGAGGCGTAATCTGTACCGGCCTTCATCTGCCAGGGTTCGGCCGAGGGCCACGGGGTACCCTGGGGAGAGTGTTCGCTGTATTCCGGTTGCTGATGTGCTAGAAACCACGGAAGCCCCTGAGAACGGTTGCACAGAAACCCGGCTCCTCCCCCAGCAAAGGTGGCAGGATCACTGGCTCAGCCGAAGTGCATCTACACCCGTGCACGCAGCATGGGCAGCAGAGAGGGGTAGCTGGAAGCCACTGCCCACCTGGGAAGTGATGATATAGTTGCCGTCATGGAAGCACGGTGGGATGGCGCGCAGCTGGAGTGCCGCAGTGGGCAGCCATCGAGTCTTGAGAAGGGGCCAGCAAGGAGGGGGGCCGGGGGTAGCCCTGCACGTCTGGGAGCGCTTTGACTGACTGGACCTTGATGGTGACAGGATGGTGGTGATGATGGGGTTGAGCGTTTAGGGATAGGAGTCAGGGGAGAGGCCAACAAGGCAGATACCATGGTGGGAGTCCCTTACAGACCACCCAACCAAGACAAGGAGGCAGACGAAATACGGAGGCTGGGAGAAGTCTGAGGATCTCTGGCTCTTGTTCTCGTCAGGGACTTCAACTTATCAGACGTCTGCTGGAAATACAACACAGCAAACAGTCCAGGAGTTCCTGGAGTGGTGTGGGGAAGATACCCCCCGGCCCCAGCCGGTGAGGGAACCAACTAGGGAAGGAGCGGGGGTCAGCAGAACTGCTGCCCTGGACTCCCAGAGGGCTGACTTTGGCCTGTTTAGGAGCCTAGTTGACATAGTCCCTTGGGAGGCAGTTCTGAAGGCTGGACATTCTTCAGGAAGGAAAGGAGAAGGAGAATCTCCATCCTTCATTGGATGCAGGAGAAACAGTGACTAAGGATGAGGAAAAGTCTGAGGTAGCTTCACTCTTTGAGAAGATGACCAGTTGTTCTCTGGGTTCCCGAAGCTGGAAGAGAGGGACAGGGAGAATGAAGCCCCCACAATCCAAGGGGAAACAGTTAGTGACCTGCTACACCACTAAGACCCCCACAAGCCTACAGGGCTGGATGAGATCCACCCCAGGGTGCTGAGGGAGCTGGCGAAAGTGCTCTCCAAGGCGCTTCCCATCATCCGTCAGCAGC